AGAGAGACTTTCTTCTCTAAAAGAAATAAAAAAATAATCCTTCTACTCAAGGCATTGCTAATTAACTCTTAAGATGAGTTGTTCTTCAGTTGTTTTTCAGTCATGTCTGACTCTTCGTGAGGCTATTTGGGGTTTTCTTTGCAAAGATACTGGAGTGGTTTGCCATTTCCTTCTCCAGCTCATTTTACAGATGAGGAAACTGAGGCAAACAGGGTTAAGTGACCTGCCCAGGGTCACACAGCTAGCAAATGTCTGAGGCCAAATCCATCTCTATCCACTGCACCACTTAGCTGCCCCGCAAGATGAGTAATGCCCAGTAATTGGGCAGAGAAAAAGTCACTCTCTATTCCAATCTATATAGTAATTCAAACAAAGGTATTTATCCTGGACTAAACATTTAGTGTATGAGGAGCTGTTGTCTCTTAACAGAAGATGAAAGAGACAATTTAGATCACAAAATCTTCTTTAAATTCATTCAACAACCATGTATTAAGTACCTGCTACTTATGTGTGTGTCTGTATATATATGTATATGTCTTAATTATCACTGCATCTCCCCCAGGGCCTAGGGGGGATGAAGTGATAATTAAGACAGGGTCCCTGCCCACAAATGACGACCTGTCATGATAAACTGGTGAGTACTTTTTTATTATCATACTATATCTTTAGAGAGGCAGCTTGATTCAGTGAATAAACATCCAGCTTGGGAGTCAGGATGATGGGTTCAACCCTGATTCTGACACATAAAGGCTGTGACACTCCCCACCCACCTACCCATGTCTCTTTCATTACCCCCAAGTCAACCCTCTAAAATTATAATATAGGAAAGTTGTTGATCTCCATCAGAAGAGGGAGTTTCCTTACTGGGGGAGCTCAGCTCCTTACAACAGTGGATTTACAGACCTAGATGCTCCTGCCAAAAACACAAAAACAAAACCAAAAAACTCCACCATGTTTATTGAGAGAATGCTTGGTGTTGTGGATGAATACCTTCCTTGCAGTAAGAGCTGGACTCAAATTCTGCCTCTGGCACAAGTTGTTTGACCATGCTGTCTTTGAGCCTCAGTTTCCTCACCAGTAAATGGGTGATAATACTGATAGCACTTATTTCATAGGGTTGTTATGAGCCTCAAATGAGGTTATGTATTTGTTTTGTAAACTTCAAAGTGCTACATAAATATTGGTTGTTATTATCATATTGATATTTTCTCTCCAAAATGGAGTAAGAGGAATTATGGGACCATCAATATCCTGGTCCACTGCCATCTTGAGTGGCTTATTAAACTTTGAGGTTCTTGATTGCTTCTATTTAGTCAGGCAGTCAAGAAACATTTAGGGGAGAGGGGGAAGGGAGTAAGCATGTCTGTAGTGCCTACGATGTGGCAGGCATTGTACTAAGAGCTTTACAAGTGTTTCATTTGATCCTCACAACAACCCTGTGAGGTAGGTGCTATTATTACCTCCATTATGCATTTGAAGAAACTGAGGCAAACAAGTGAATGATTTGCCCAGGGTCACACAAGTGGACTTGAAATCAGGTCTTCTTGATTCCAGGTCCAGCTCTCTATCCACAGTGCCACTAACTATCAAGGTAGTAAGTGCCTACTAAGTGTCAGGCGCTGTGCTAAGCACTAGGGTTACAAATACGAAAAAGAGAGCACCTGCCCTCAATCTAATGGAGATAAGTCATTTTTCAGGCATGTCTGACTCTTTGTGACCCCATTTGGGGTTTTCTTGACAGAGATAATGGAGTGGTTTAGTCATTTCCTTCTCCACTTCATTTTACAGAGGAGGAACTGAGGAAAACAGAGTTAAGTGACTTGCCCAGGGTCACACAGCTAGTAAGTCTAAGTGTCTGAGGCCCAATTTGAACTCATGAAGATAAGTCTTTCTAGTTCCAGGCCCAGGGCTCTATCCACTGTGCCACTAAGGACAGTGTTCTATCCCCTGCACCTTCTAGCTGCCCTTCAATCTAATGGAGTAAGACACACAAAAGGAAGGTGAAACAGGGTAAGGAGGGGGTGGGAGGTGGGAAAGGAGAAGGGAAGGTACCTGGTAAGATGTGATGAAGAAGTCAGATGAATACAGCTAGGCAGGAAATGAAATGATTTATGAAAGGCTATCAGTTGCCTAGAACATCTTTTTCTTCAGAAAAGCAACTGGTCCATGATGGAAAGTGAGTTGAATTTTGAATCAGATGACCTGAGTTTAAGACCTGTTTAGACCCGTATTAGCTATGTGACTATAGACAGGTCACCTAATTTCACTAAGCCTTGATTTCCCAATATATAAAACGGGGACATAACGCACTACCTCCTAGAGTTGCTAAAAAGAAAGAACTTTGTTTTTATTTTTTAAAATTAATTTTAATTTTTATTTTGAATTTAACAAATGCCAAACAGGATGGTCATCTGAATATACCTAAGTAAACACAGAGAGGATTGTACATGAAATTGCTGGTGTCTGTTTCATACAGTTGCTTTTCTTTTTCAGAATATTATAACATAATATGTAAAAGCATGATACAATATAACACAATATATTATAATGTAATATAAAATGTAACATAATAACAATGTATATATAATTATAATTTTCAAAGCTACCTTGCTTATATGGCCTTCATTATGGCCTTCTTTTCTGTTTTCTCCATTAAAGAAAAAAAAGATACTTCAATGACCCTTTCTTTTTTTCTTCTATTCTACTTCTATCCCCTGATCTCTGGAGAGGACAAAAGTAATAAATATACATAGTCAAACAAAATAAATTCCTACGCAGGCTAAGTTCAAAAATATATGTCTTATTTGCCATCTTAATGCCATCATCATTCTCTCAAGAGGTGGGTGGTATGCTTCATCGCTGGTTCTCTGGAATCATGGTTGGTGATCACATTAATCAAAGTTCTCAGATTTTTCAAAGTTGTTTTTCTTTTCAATGTTGTCTACAAATTGTCTTCCTGGTTCTTCTTACTTCAGTATGTACAAATTCGTGTGGGTCATACAAGGTTTCTCTGCAACCATTTTTTCACCATCTACATTTCATTGCATTCACATGCCACAATTTGTTTAACTATTTCCCCACTTGAGGGGTACTCCCTTAATTTGCAGTTCTTTGATACTATAAAAAGAAGTGCTATAATTATTTTTTGTACAATTAAGTCCTTTTCCTCTTTCTTTTGAATACGTCTTTGAGGTATGGGCCTGATAGTTGCATAGCTGGGTCAAAGAGTATGCATAGTTCAGTGACTTTCTTTTTGCTAGGCAATGGGGTTAAGTGACTTACCCAGAGTCACACAGCTATTGTCTGAGCTCATATTTGAACTCAGGTCTTCCTGACTTCAGCTAAGTGCTCTATCTACTAAGCCACCTACCTGTCCCACTTTTGTTGTTGTTCAGTTGCTTGGTCATGTCCACTATACCGTTTATAAGGTTTTCTTGTTAAAATATTGGAGTGGTTTGCCATTTCCTTCTCCAGTAGACTCTGAGGCTGGATTTGAACTCAGGTTTTCCTGACTACAGGCCCAGAGCTCTATCCACTGAGTCACCTAACTGCCTCAATAATTTCTGTAGTTATTTTGAAAGGAATTTCTCTTTCTAGGTCCTCTTGCTGGGCTGTATTGGTTTATTGGGTTTTATAAGAATGCTGATACTTTATGTGGATTTATCTTATATCCCGCAATATTGCTTAAGTTATTAATCATTTAAATTAATTTTAGTTGACTTTAGAGTTTTCTAAATACACCATCATATCATCTACAAGATGGTTAACTTCATAATTTCTTTGCCTGTTTTTTACCACATTTTTATCTTTTGTTATTGCTACAGATAGCATTTCTAGCACTATTATCAGTTAGTAGTAGGGATAATAAGCAAGCTTGTTTTAACCCTGATCTTACTGAAGAAGCCTCTAACTTTTTTCCTTTATGTATGACGTTTGCCCTTGGATTTAGATAAAAATAAAAATCTGTCCTTGTCCTCAAAGAGCTTACATTCATGGGTGGTTAAGTCAGCACAATTTGAAGTGCAATTTAAAGAGAGAGAACACACTAAAAATTGAGGATCAAGAAAAGCTTCGTGGATGTTGTGGCCCCTGACTTGAATATAAAAGCAGACTATTGATTCTAAGAGGCTACAGGAAGGAGGCATTTCAGGCATGAAGGACTGCCTGTGCAAATGTACAGGTGGGAGACAGAAGGTCAAGTTCAGGGAACAGCTAGCAGGCCAGTTTATGTAGAACAGTGTTTCTTGAAGTACGGTCCAGGGACACTTGAGGGTCCCTGAGACCCTTTCAAGGGGTCCTCAAAATCAAAATTAGTTTCATAATAATACTAAGATGTTTTAATTTCTAATGTGATAAATACCACTAGATATAACCCACACAAATAAAAAGTTCAGGAAGCAATCAATAATTTTAAGAGTGTAAAAAGAGTCCTTTTAAAAATTTTTATTTTATTTTTAATTTATGGAATAAAACAAGCATTTCCATAACGATATAATTTTTAAAAAAGATGACTGCACAGGAAACTGCAAATCTATTATATACAACTTGCTATTCCTTTTAAATATATAATAAAATTATCACTTAATTTTTTTCTTTTTTCTTCTCTCCCCCCCTACCACCCTGCCCTAGAGATGACTGCCATTAGAAACACATAAACACACATAATCATTCTGTATATACTTCTATTTATCAGTTCTTCTAATCAGAACATTGTATATAGTAACAGCAATAGTGTTCAAAGAATAATTGTGAACAACCAAGTTATGCTGAATACTATAAATACTCAAAGCAACTATAAAGGACCTATGAAGATGCTATCCACCCCCAGAGAAAGAAGCAAAAAATAGAAATATGCATAGTATGGTTTTACATATGTTTATAAATCTGTGTCAAATGGTGGCCTTCTCTAGTCTAGGGTGAGAAGGGAAGGAGGAAGGCAGTTTGGAACTTAAAATGTAACCAAAAAAATTGAAATTAAATAAAAACACAGATACACACCATCAGTGAAATTCCTTTTATTAACTGTTTTGGGGGAAAGCTGCTCTATCTACTCTTTATATAATTTTAGTTCTGACCAGTTGAACCAAAACCTCCTGCTCCACGTTCAGTGTCATCTAAGCCCTGAAAAAGAAAAAAGTGTCAAGTAGTAAGTTAATGTCAAAATCTCTTTTCTCCCAGACTCCTAAATTTTAAAGTGTCTTTTCTCCACAAACTCTTGCCTTATGATCAGCATATCTTTCTTTCTTTCTTTTTTTTTTTTTGGCATCAGCATATCTTTCTTACGGGAGATGACAGAAAACAGAAGGAAAAAAATGGTAAAACATAGATGCATGATTTAGCCACAGTAAATACAAGTATTTTCTAAAAGTTTATTCAAAAGTATATTAAGGCTTTAATGAATTAGAAAATTAAAAATTAGCTTCCAAGGAAAAGTTAATATGAAAGCTATATAGCAAAGATCTCCTTACGGAGATTTAAAGAATTCCTTTTAAAGTTTATTTTAAAATCACTGAATACACAGCTAGAAGGGACCCTGGAGAACATCTTGTCTAAACCTCTTTCTGACCCCATTTTGCAGACGAGAAATCTGAGAGCCAGAGAGAAGTAACCTCAGAGTAGTAGGAAGCAAATCCAGGTCATTTGTCCCAAACTCCAACATTCTTTGCATTATTCCACTCTGCCATCTTCTAGCAGGTTAAAGGAAGAGACCTTCATTTTAGCATTTACTAAATCTTAAAACTTTATTTTACTTCTAATTTGTCATTTATTGTTAGGATTGCCAATCTAATGGAAAATAATTTTATTTGTTCTATATAAGGATTTATACACAGAACTACACTTCTCTGTTAAAAGAATTATGTGATTTACTCACTGTCTTCTTTAAAAAGTAGCTCTATCTTCTATGTACTAACAGCATACTAACAAAGCATACTAATACTGATAAAATCATATTTGTGATGTTGAACCATTTGACAGTGCCAGAAATTTTCTCTGCAGAAGCAGTTTCCAGAATGGCTCTCCCCAATGGTTTCATTATAATTACTTACTTGGACTTCTTCAAGTTCTGGATAAAAAACCCGTTCACAAATTAGCTGTGCAATCCGGTCACCTTTTTTCACTTTAAATAAAAAGACAGTTATTATAAATATGCAGTTCGGAAAAACACAAGTTTAGCAATTGTAGTAAATTACATTATTAGCTTACCTTCAAATGTTTCTTTGCCAAAGTTAAATAGTACAACACCAACATTTCCTCTGTAATCTTCATCTATGACACCAGCTATAGGAAGACATATTAAATTAATGAAACACAAAGTCTTTGGTAGTTATTGCCATCTACCCTTAATTATCCATACTAATGAAGTATAATAGTAGTATGAAAAACTCTAGAAGCAGCCTAAAATAGTGGATTGAGTTCTGAACTTCAGAGCTCAGGAAACCTGGGTTAATATTTGGCCTCTTACATTTACTAACTACAAGACCTGGGGAAAGTCATTAAACCTTTATATGTTTCAGGCAACTCCCTAAGATTTATCTACTAAATTACAGATAGAATTTGATCAATGTTGGTGAAAATAGTTCCCTATGTTTAAGAAATCACAAATAACATAAAGATGATCCACGAATGGCTCGAAAATATTTCTATACTTAAAAAATGAATATGGATCTGTATAATATTCTAGAAATTTACAATATTTCAAACAAAAATGTAGAGGTCTAGCTCAGAAGCACCTGGAAAACTATCCAGTTTTTTCACCCAATTACACAAATCAACTCTTTCCTACTTCCACTCCGTTGAAAATAGATGGCAGAACCTTTGAATAATATATGTTAGCTTGAGCTGGGTTGCCTCCTCTTTCCAATCTGGCTCCCACTTTTCTTGAGGACTAAAAGAAAATTGTGTGTTTTGGTTTCAAAGCCTTACAGCAGAGCTGACGGTGTATTGTCTTCACCTGTGACCCATCCCCTATTTCTCCTTTTTTCCCCCTAGAATCCTTAAAGAAAAGTTCCATGCATATAGGCTGGCAAGAATATTCTTGGACAGATGGTGAAGTTAGAGTTATTTGAATATCTGCTACAAACTTGCTACTGACTTTTTTGGACAAGGACAATTCCTCATTCCTCATTTTAAGTCTATAATTATATCAAATTAAGAAAATGGGGTGAGAAAGAAAAGAAGAATGAGGATTACTCAGTCTACTTCTGAGTACTTCCAATACTGAGTACTCAAAAAATTTAATTTTTCAGTGAGATCAAATAAAATTGGAGTCCTGCACAAATGCATTTTAACCTTTCAGTAATTCACTGAAAAAATTTGCCTTTCAAAATGTCCCCAGAGATTTCATTTAAAAAGTGTGTAATTACCTCAGAATTTTTCTAGTGCGGTATTTACAGAGTAACCTATTTACATAGGTTAAGCACAGCTATATTTCAACAAAATGGCGGACAAAGGTAAGCATAAAATTGGGATGCCTGAACCAAGTATTGCAGGAATTCTACTTCTGAATATAGGGAGAAGTTGTAAACTTTTCTCAATTTAACAGTAACAAAAAGTGGGCCAGGTCACATAATGCTGAATCATGTTTTCTTTTCCCACATCCTGTTGAAGGAGGTTGACTTAATCCTTCATATCCTTGAAGACAGTTATTCTATGAAAGGTGGGACCAGCTGTTCTCCATCTTAACTCTGAATACCTAAGTAGAAATGGTTTTAGGCTTAAATAGGGATTTAGATTAGATTTAAGGAATAAATTATTCAGTGTTATATGTTGTTAAACACTGCAACAAATTAGTAGAGAAGGTTGTGGAATTTCTTTCCCTGGAGATTTTTTAGAATGGAATCAATATCCACCTGTCTAGAATGATTTAGGTAAAGCTAAATTTGCCAAGTTGGGGGAGGTCTTTTCTGGTATCTTTAAAGTAGCTTTGCTTGGCTCACCAATATGACTGGGTATCACTGTATTCTATTTCAGTGGTCAGATGTTTACCCAGAAGTACTGGTACATGGTTCAGATGTCCTAGCAGAGCTTCTTAAACTTTTTCCACTTTTGACCCCTTCAGCTCTTAAACTGTGGGTCAGACAGTTTAAGAAGCACTGTTTAAGGTATAAACTTGTGAAAGAAAAGCTATTAATGAATTTCAAGATGTATTTTAAAAGCTACAAAAACTATGGATGAGAAAAGCTTAAAGACAATTGAAATACAAGAAAATAAAGGCCTTTACATATACTTTATTAGCAAATAAACTTCTACAAATTTCAGAAATTTAGGATTCATTTTACACCTAACATAGAATAGACCATTCAAGAAAAACATGGGAACATAATTTCCTATGTAAGCACAAGGACATTTCTTTCTCTTCATGAGAAAGCAAAATGTGTCTTGAAGTTATCATTGGAAAAATCATGCATTGGAACTGGCAGACTGAATAACTGACTTCAGGCAAAGTTTGACTGTGTCAAGGCTTTGGCATGTCATTTGTTGGAAACCTATTTCAGTTAAAACCATCCACACCTACCAGATGTGCATTCTGAACAGAATCCTGCATACTCAACTTTTTCCTCTGACCCTTATTTACAGCCTGGGATTCTAACAACATCCTTCTTAGGAAATAAAATGTTTTGCCAGCTATGATAAACCTGTGCCTACGAGACATTTTTAAGTTACAACAGATCCAAGAACACACCACAATTTTATGAACAACATATACCAACTATTGGGCTAGTTTTCCATTTCTTTTGGTCCAGTGCTTTTTGGGTCTTTGTTTTAAGCACAGCAAATAACTGTTATGAGAAAAATATTCAAATTTCAACATAAATTTGTTTTCAAATACAGAATATATACCTAGGCCAGTCTTAAATTACCAGGACTACAACCACAACAAAATGTTAAAAAACCATGTCTGGAAAAATATTATGTAAAGTACAGGATCTTTAAACTGTAAGTCACAATATTAAAGAGCTCAGCACGGTACAGGGGAAGAGCATGACAGTACAAGTCTGAGGACACGGCTATGAGTTCCAGCTTCCTTACATGTGACTTTAATGAAGTCACATGTAAGTGTGACTTAAACTTTCTGGGCCTCAGAGCCTTCTTACGTAAAAATGAGGTAGGACTGATGATCATTCATGTTCCTTCCAGATCTGAAAAGCTATGAAATAAGAGGCAGCAGAGCTGCTGCTAGATCCAAGTATTATCCCACACCACCACCTAGTGACATCATGAGAAATGTCACTTTATCAGCTAGGTTGAGCTACGAAAGGACAGAAGCCAGATCCAAAGGAATATTTTGCAGACAGGCAAAATCATGTCTTTCTGTACATTCTCAGGGGATTTGGCAGAGGAGGGGGCAGCTTGAGCAAAAGCACAGATGTAAGCGATGGGATATCACATACAAGAACAGGCAAGTTTGGCTAGAAAGTGGTGTACCAAAAAAAATCAGTTTAAAAAGATAGGGGCAAGAACATTTATTAAGCACGTACATTCAGAACACTTTGGAAACAACTATAGGATGCTTCAGCTGCAAGTTAGATAGGAAGGCCTCATGGTCCTTAGGGTATAGCACCAGATGGAAATGCATCTTCTTTCCTGTCATTTCCACTGATAAAATCCTATTTGTGATGTTGAACCATTTGACAGTGCCAGAAATTGTCACTGCAGAAGCAGCTTCCAGGTTATATCTCTGTAAGGGTCGATTCCCTGGATAAAGGCTTCAGGGCTGGACTGGATGCAGCACCAGTAGAATGGTGCTATTTCTGGGTCCCTTGGGCTCAGGATCCAAGGGCTGTCTCCAGATGAAGGGAGGAGGTTGCAATGGTGTGTCTCAACAGGCACAAATCTCTTATCCCTTCCTCAGGCTGCCTTACTGCTTCAGGTAAGGCTTGCCTGCCTGTGCAGTGGGTGCACTTCGTGGGGATGACCAGTCCCTTACCCACAAGGACTGCTCCCTTGAATGACGGCTATAGGCACTAAGCAGGAAGCAGGGCCACTGGTCAGGTGGACACTTTTATTTGTAGGACTCTAGGGCATGGTATTGTACGACACCTTACTTCACTTTATTTGGCTGTATTTATCTGTTTCATACTAACTCTTTAACAAAACATTTAAATAAAGGAGAGCAAGATTATCAGCAAGGGGACCTTTCAAGAAAACAAAGCCAAACACAATTAAAATCTAAAAAAAAATTAAAAATCATCCTTCAGAAGCCAGAAGCCTAATCTTGGTTAAGAGCTAAAAAGTCATCAGGAGTTTCCAAACTGCAGCCCACAATATACCAAGAACTATGTTGATATTTTTCTTATTTGACTATACATATTTGTTACAAGAGAGAACCTCTTTTTTTGGGTAGGAGGTCAGAGAAGTGTCTAATTTTGGAGCTAAAAAAAAGATCATCAGTAAAATATTTTTTAAATGCATGTATACCCCACCCCCTCCTCCTAACAATACAGAAGGGATCACAAATAGAGCAATTCTGTCCCTAGCTTGTTAAATTTTATTAAAAATATATATCAGAAGTCTCAGTTATTTTTTCTTGTTGTTTGTATACTGCAATGTTTGTGTTTGCTGTTGACTGCTAAATTTGCAATAAAAAAAGAAAATAAAAAAATAGATTTAGCAGAGAGGAAGGGAAAGGAGAGGAGGTGATAGTCCATAGATAGATGAATTCCAGAGTTCTGGTTCATGGAAGTAGAACCCTCGTGGATTGTAAGAGCAAGGTAAGGCCAACTGGCCATACAGTTGAGGTGAAGGTCATGAGATATGATGCTGATATACTAGGAGCCAGGGTGCTCGAGGGGACATCAATATGTAATGTGTACAATGCAGTTCTCAAGCATAAGAGAAGGGGTTGGGTGTGAGTCTCCTTTGAAGACTTATATAAACTGATACAGAGTAAAGAAAGCTGAACCAAGTGAATATACACAATGATCATGGTAACGTAAATGAAAACACTAAGAGCCATCAGAATTAAGATTAATTTAATATTCAATTTTGGTTCCAGATGACTGAGGATGAAATCACTTTTCCCTAGTAAGAATTACAAATGGGCTCTACTTCTGACTCTTTGGACTTTCTTTACTGTGCCACAGCAGTCTTCTGACATCGGAAGTACACCCTGCAGCCCCCTCCTCTGATTGGCCAATTATTCCCAGAACATCTAGTTTAAGGAAAATGCCCAGGCAGGCAATATCTTCATTCTTCTGTGGCCTCTATTTTCCAGATTTTCTCTACCATGCCCCCTGCAAGGGTACTTTCCTTCCTCCTTATGTCCCACACCCTTCTCAGCTTCCTTTTAAAACTGTTTTCTCCCATTAGAATGTAAGTTCCTCAAGGGCAGGGACTTTCTGTTTTTTCATTCCTAGCATTTAGGACAGTGTGTGGCACATAGTAAATGCTTGTTACTATGTGAAAAAACAAGATGTTAGACAGAAGTTTAGTAGGGAGGAGGCCAGGAGTCAGGAAAATCTGGATTCAAGTCCCTCCTGTGCCACATAATGGTGATAGAGTTCCAAGCAGGTCACTTAACCCCTTAGTGTCCAGGCACCTAAGACTGTTAGGTGGCAGAGCAGATGCTGGATCTGCAATGGTCACAAGAGTTATCCATATGAACTTCCCACAATGATGTGACCGAAGTCTGGTCAAAAGGCATCTGGAGAACACTGAGAAGTGGGGAAAGCAGTTTCTTGCTCTCTATTGACCTTTTTGGGTCCTCTTTTGTTACTCTTCCCAAATAGTGCCCTCATGATGGCCTTCAAAGAGGTGAAGATATTTCTTCTAAGGAGTCTTCTCTTCAGGTTGAGTATCCTTGAATTCCTTATCCACTCCTTACATGACACATTTTCAGACTCACAGCCAGTCCAGCCATTCTTTCATGGACACACTAGTCTGTAGATGTCTGTTTTTAAATATGGCACCCAGAATCAAACATAATAACGAGGTGTGTGGACTAACCTGTTAGGTTATCAGATTTGGGTTAAATGTATTTGCTTCTGTGTACGCAGTGTTTTCTCCAATAGAATGTAAGTTCTTTGAGGACAGAGACTGTCTCACTTCTTATTATTTTGCCCCTAGTGCCTAGTATACAGGTGTTGTTCATAAATGCTTGCTGGTTTATAGATATATGCACAGTTCTTGGTATAGCTTTATACAGGATTGTGCACATTTATTACTCTGAGAATATGCATCTCTGAGTCTATATGTATACATACGTTACCTTTGAGGTTTTCAAAGTGGGAATGCAATCACTGTCATCCTTGGTTCCTTTTCCCCAATCAGAACCTTAACCATGCTGACCCACAGAAACAGATCTCTCTAGAAAGGTTTTGGTAATTCCTTCTTTTCCTACTTTTTTAGTCTGTTTGTTTTGGGAGCAGAGGATCGAACAGCCAAAGTTGGCGTCCCCCAATAATATAAGGTACATAATGATATAAGACTCAGAAATTTTTACATGGGCAACTTCACCTACTAGTGAAATATTTCATTTTTTATGGTAAGACTAAACAGTACATAAAAACATGAATTGTTGTTGCCCATTCCTTTAATAGGAACTCATTAAATTTGGATGGCATGTTCATGAATTATAATGCACAAAATAACAATTCATTTTATCTTCTAATAGGATTCAAAACATAAGCTACCATTTGAATTTCACTTTTTTAGGGAAGAAAATTTTTTTACAAATGTAAGACTGAAATAATAAGTAAACATCTTACCTCCCACATCTATGAAATGTTTTGCAGCCAAGCCAGAACGTGGAGCTTAACAAAAACAAACAAACAAAAAAATACATTGAAAGTTTTGACACAATCTAGCCTTACTTGTAAATCTCACCACTTTTGACTCAACTTTATTTCCCATGCTTTCTAAATTTAGAGTAACTTTAATTTCATCATAATAATGTGATGACAATTTGTATTCACTACACTTACTAAGATGGGGAAAGTAGACATTTAGAAAAATTTATAAGAAATGAAACCTGGTTAACCTAAAATTCATTTAATCAAGATGAATATCTTCTTAAGAGTTCTAGTTGATTTGAGATTTCACCATCTAATTAATAATCACAAGTGTTACATATAAATTTCATATAAAACAAATTTCCTCAAAATTAGAATTTATTTGTTTGCAGTCACTACATTAAATGAATTAATATTGTGATACTGGGGTATACCTGTTTCTCTTGAGGGTTCTAAGGTCATCCACTCAAGGAGAGAAGCAGTAGGGGTTTTGTTCTCTCCTCTTATTTTGTCCAGTTAACTGTTTTTATCACATAAGCATACTTGGTGGCATATAAGGCCCAGGTGATTTTACTTTGAGAAGTGAGCTTTGTCTTTCCAACAGTTCTTGATTTTCACCAGCCAGGACTACCTGACTTTCTCTCCACTTGAATAAGTTTTGATATCACCTCCTCTAAAAGGTGTAGCTACTGAGAGAAAAGGTTGATGATGAAGAGATATTTTCTAGAGTTTATAATGGCTTTTGGAAGTGTTATTTCTGAGGCTGTTTTATAATAAAACCTTATTGGAAAACAACATTATTTAAAGATGCTTCTTGTACTGTACTGTACATGGAGACAGGCACACTCAAGTCGTCCTGTCATTTGGGGCAGAAAGAAAATACCCATTTTGAAAAAAAAATTCTAATATTCTGAAATATTAGAGAAATCACCAGGAGTGAAACAGGGAATTTTAATTGTCAAAAGTGAGAATTCTAGGGAGAGCAAAAACCCTGAATCATTTGGGGTTTTATTAACCAGTTAATGTCTTGAATTAGGTTCATGAACCAATAGCCAAAGGTTGTGTTCCTGCATTCACTTGGGTAAAGCTCCTTTCTTGATGACATTAAGATTACTAGGGTCATCTATGACATTAAAAGATTTTTAGAAGATTTTTTCTTAACTTCTCCTATATACTGCAAAAATATTCTAATACTTGTAATTATTCCAATTGTTAATGAAGTTGGATATTTACTCTAGTTAACAGTATACCTTTCCTAACCTGTGGAATATAGCAAAGAGGTGGGAATATAATGCAACACTGAAATTTTGCTCCCCCTACATAAGTATAGTGCATATAATTTTCTAGCTTCAACCATTGTAGTATTTCCCGGGGAATATGCCAGCAATTAATGGCAAAAGTGCCTCACCAAACTTCCACAGTAAAAGCAAAGGGAGATGTGAGGGATACCAGGCTACAGGAAACTTACAAATGGGTTGCATCTGTTGTGTCTTTTATCTAATCTATCCTGGATTAGAAATCATGTTGAATAATTTCCCTCAACTTTCCAAATATGCATAATCATATGATAAAATGAAAATGAAGAATAAGTTCCTATTTATTTCAAACACAAAGTAAGGTAAGCTACTAAGTCACTTAGTCACTTACCAACTCTACCATAACACCCAGGAGGGAGAGAAATCTGAATGTCTGTTTTCACAAGGGCTTTCTCCATGGCTGGTATTGTATAATCATAGGCACTATAGAAATTACCAAGCAAAATAAAGTAAATTATAAAATGGATTTTTGCAATTTAAATTTTCTGTTAACAAAGTATTAGATTATCAGAAATGTTTAAGTTGAACAATGGATTTTCTTATTAGTTCCTATACCAACTTAGATTTCTATATTTATTCTTCTAAAGAAATGTACAAATCACTAATTTAAAATTTATCTACACAAAATTCCCATGAAGCCTAAGGGTAGGTATCACTATCTCATAACAATGTTTCCTAGTCCTTTTGCTGACAGTTTGAGATGACTTAATTCTACAACATACCATATACTGGGAAGGTGATGGTGTATGAAGATCAAGAGAACAGATTAGAGAGGGTAGGCCTGGGAAAGGCACCTTATTTCACTGGGATGAAAATAAAGGGAAGAAAGATGGGGATAGGCTGAGAAAGTGATGAGTCAAGAAAGAAGAGACCAAGAGTAGGAAAAAGGGCTAATGCTTTGTTATGCTAAGCTTTGGAAATAGCTTGACCCTAATAGTAGGCCAGGAGTAAATTACAGTGTATTCACTAGTTAAACTACTGCATATTTAATGGCCCTGGATAGGTAGATTGCTACAGTGACCCACCTTGTGATCTTAGGCAAATCACTTCACTGCTTTCTTAGCTCAGCTATTAAAAGGTGATTACACTAAGGTTCATCTCAAAGAGCTCCAAGATTCATAGATTTTTTCCCTCCTTTCTTTTCTGAAGAACACTATAAGGCTACTCAAGGATTACAATTCTATACCTCTACCTGTACTAAAGCCAAGTAAAAACCTGCACTGAGGTCCTACTCTGATGTTTCACTGGGTCATAGAAGTGACCCCGGGTTCTTATAGACTAAAGTCAAACTCCAGCAGATCCTCCAAAGCTGGAGAAGTTTTGGCCACGGTTTGGGTCACCTGTGCTGAGGGTGAGTGTAGCTAATTTCAGAGAGGCTCAATAGGAGATCTGGCTACAAGGTGATGAAAGTTTCAGATGGCAACTCTTAAAGACCATCTATTATTAAGTTGTAAAGCGGATTTCGATCTACAGTGGTGGAAGTGCTTTGAACTGTTCTAAGCTATCTTCCAAATAAAAGCATTAATGTGTGGTCTAAAGATGAATTCTGGATCCCCAATTTTAGCCTTTCCTTTGCCTTTTTTTTTTTTTTTAAATAAAGTTTCAATTAACTGTAATGTTAGGATTAGTTGGACAGAGTTTAACTACAATGAATCTATCTAAGATGTTTTATGGAGTTTAAGCATTCTCTGAAAAAACGGTTTTGCCACAGGTCATTTTAGGAGTACTTAGGATTATCCTGAGTACATCTCTCTTGTCTTAGTATTTCGGACACTCTTTTTCCGTTCAATTGAAAAAATGTTCATTAAGTGCTGCCAGTATAAGGCAGCATGGGATCCAATGAAAAAAAAAATTATACTGCCTGCCCTCTAAGAGTTTATGTCTACCAGAGGAGATATAAGTACACAAATAAGACTAATAGGAGGTAAAATGTGATAAGGGTAAGAAAGTGCTCTAAGAAAATTAAAAGGCTAACTGAAAAGAACATAGAAAGGTTTTGTAAAGGAGGTGGCACCTGAGATGAGCCTTAAAGAAGACTGAATAGGTATGGATGAAGAGTTCACTCAGGACGTGGGAGAGAGCTCCCTAAATGCATGGAAAAAGAGGTCAAGTTCAGAGAATAGCTTAACAAAACTTAATTTTCCTTAGGAATAGGAACAGTGTTTTATATATATATAATATAAATAAAAATCCCCTCAGGAAACTTCCCAGGCCCTTTGAGGTTAAGTGACTTGCCTAAAGTAACACAGCTGCAGGATCTACATTGCATTAAAAAAAAAGTTTTAATTTTTGTCATTTCAGCCAGCATGTTAAATCTCCTCATATTTACAAACACGAGACCTTCCACTTTAACAACGGCGTTGCCTCAAGTTTCTTGACTCTGGGCAAGTAGCCTCACCTCTCCTTATCCATAGAATGGGAAGAGGGAAGGCCAGGGGAGACTAAGATGATTTTTTTCCAGAGGCATCGAAGTGACAGGGTGAAGAGTCAGGAAAACCCGAGTTCAAATTCTGCCTCTGTGTGACCCTAGGCAAATCACTTAAGCTGTTTGTCTCAGTTTCCTCATTTTGTAAAAGAAGGATAACAGGATTGTTGTGAGGAACAAACGAGATAATTGTAAATCGCTTCACATTCTGTGTGCTATATAAATATTAGCTACCACGATTATTGTTATTATTATTATCGTTACTAGTTGGTGAGTCTATAATACCAGGGTGTCCAAAAAGTCTTACTGCCCTTGCAAGCTTTCACAGCTTAATCATTTTAAGCTATTAATATTAAATTTTAAGCTTTAATGGCTTAACACGGCACTAAGACTTCTGGGACACTGCCTCTAACTAGCGGGCAGGGACACACCCCAGCCGACAATTAAGCGCCCAGAATTGGCGCGAAAATTTGAGGACAGGAAACTGGGTTGAGAGCCAGGGAGGGCCTCGCCATGTGGGGGTTGGGGGTGGGGGGCGTATAAGGAGAAGAAGGATGGAGTCCGAGGACTTGGGTTTGAATGAAGCCTCTGCTATCCACGACCCCCGAGTGGCTTTGAAACAAGTGGCCTCCCCCGCTCCGAGTCTCAGTTTCCTCATTTGCAAAACGAGAGCGGGTCTAGCTGGCTGCGAGGTCCTTTCCCCGGTTCTGGTCTCGTGCCCGCGAGGGGGTGAGCGGGCGGGCAGACGCCCCTCTCGCTCAGTCACACCCAGCCTCCCACCTACCTACCTGTACAGGTCATAGCCGGCGGCCCGCGCCGACCCCTTGGAGGGGGCCATGGCGTGCTCCGAGAGGCGGGCGAAGCGGAGGCGCACGGGGCCCTCCTCCTCGTGCAGCGCAGGCCGGGCCCGCTTGCTGGGGGAGACGGCGACGGGGGTCGCTTCGGAGCAGGGCATGACTGCGGAGAGAAAACAGAAGGCACGCGCGGGGATGCAAGTCGATCACTCAGTCCCGTAGCCAACTAGATTTAAATTTCCCCGCCAGCCTCCAGCCCCCCAGCCGGACGAGCCCATTCGGGCAAGCTGATGGGGGAGACCATATTTAAAATGTTTGGCTTGAGAGGAGGGCGGTGCCCCAGAGAGGCTTGTCTATAACCTTGATTTAAGGCCGTTTTTTTCTCCCCAATGCGCCGGTCCTATGTGGGAAACTCTTTTGTTGGGCTCCCATTCCGAATTTCAGGTCATTCCCTCTCCCCCCCTTAGAGCGAGCGGATGGACGCGCCCCCGCGCCCGTTAGCGGGGCAACTCACGACCCCGGTCATTGAATCCCGGTCCCTCCATGTGGCGGGAGCTATGCCCCGTGCAAGGCCCTCAGGTGGAGCAGAGCCGGGAGAGGCCTACGGGAGCGCCTTGGGCCTTCCGAGCAAGCATCTGCGGGAAGCTCTGATGAAGGCCTGGCGGATTCCAACCCTTATCAGAGAGGCAGATCGGTCGCAGCTGCCGCACCCTAGGGAATTACTATCCCGGGGGTTCCCCCTCCCCGGTCACGTTTTCCCATCTTTACTAGCTTCCCTGCATCCCGGCCTGGCGTAGCTGAGAGAACTGGGGAAGAGCCGCCTGAGCTCCCGGAGCAGCATGGCAGACTAGGCCGTTAGTTAGGGGGCGGGGAAAAGGTCTGGGCAGGACTAGGAGACAACTGTGGGTAAGCTGGGGAGGAGCGGCTGACATTTAGTGGGATGGTAGCCTTATTTGAGGCGACCGTTTTATGGCTGTTAACACCCAGACCAAGAAGAAAAAAAAACCCCAACCGATGCACCTGGCTTAGAATGCATAGTGGAGCAGTTTTGTCCGCCGACAGCCACCGTACTCTCCCCAGAATACGCCGCAGAATTTGCTCGGACGTTAGAACGTCTTGAACCCTTCCCCAGTTCCTTCGGAGACGCCGGCAAACCGCGGCAGATGGTGGGGTTCAAGGGGCTGGAGGGGGGTGCGCATGCGCAGCAACTCCACCCGGTGGGCAAGGTAACTCCGCCAACCTCTTTGCCCGCTCTTATGCGGGTTGCTGCCGGCCGAAGTCCATGTGGTCCTAGTGGCGGTTAGTGTCTGGGACTAAAATTCCTTTAGAGGTTGGTGGTGTGCAACGTCCTAGTGCAAGCTGCGGCCCCACTTCTATGTAGTGCCCTCGCTGCGTATAGAGCAGCAATTTTGGCTCTAAATCAGCAGGGATTTAGAAAGAACTCGTCCCCCTGATGTAAGAAAACCCAGGCGTGCAGAGAGATTCAGTGTCACCTAGGAAGGGAGAATAGGGGGGCGCCTCAGGTATCTTTCCCTCCAAACTCTCCGTCTTCCTGATTTACCTGTTACTATTGAGGTTACCGCCAACCTCCCATTTACCCAGGCTTGCACCCAGGGTGTCATCCCAGACCCTTTCTCTCACACCTCCAATCCGATCATTTGCCAAGTTCTGTTCTTTCTACCTTTATCAGTCTCGTGATGAGAAGGGGTATATCCTCCTCTGACACTGCCACAGCCCTGCTATTGCAGTAACCTGCTGGTTACTAGTGGGGGGTCTGCTTGCCTCAAGTCTCTTCCCACCCCAATCCATATTTCACTAAATTGTGAAAGTGATTTTTCTAAAATGCAGGTGTGACCATGACACCCTCTATTAAATAAGCTCCAGTGGCTCCCTATCACCTCCAGGATCAAATACTTGGCTTTCAAAGCCCTTCGTAACCTGGCCCCTTCCTACCTTTCCAGTCTTCCTACACCTTACGTCCTGCCAGGTATGCATTGATGCAGTCGAACTAGCCCTCCGTGGTGTCCCTAGTACAAGAAATCTTCCAGCTGGAGAGTTTTCATAGGCCGTCTCTCATGCTCGGAATGCCCTCCAGCGTGTCCTCCTTCTGGCTTCCCTGGCTTTCTTCAGGTACCAGATAAAGTCCACCTTCTACAAGAAGCCCTTCCCAGTGTTTTCTTCCTTAATCTTAGTGCCATACCTCTGACATTACTCCCAATTTATCCTGCATGTAATTTTGTTAGTACATAGTAGTTTGCATATTGTTGCTACCATTAAACAGCTGCTTGAGACTAGAGACAGCTTTTTGCCTTCCTTTGCTATCTCCTAATCTTTGCACAATGCCCATCACATTGTAAGTGTTCAGTAAATACACTGACTGACTTGATGACCCATTTGGTATTTAAAAGAATGACCCATTTGGTATTTAAAAACATAGATGGCATATTTATCAAATTTGCTGATAATACAGGTGGAAAGAATAGCTAGCACATTGAATGATAAGATCCAAAAGATCTTGAAGGGCTGGAGCATTTGGGCAGAACTTAAGGTACAACTGAAAAGGGAAAAATACAGTAGTTTACTCTGAATTAAAAAAAAAAACTAAACAAACTCAGTAGTTTCTCAAGTACAGTATGGGTGAGGCATGAGTAACCAGAAATCTTTTCACTTATTTGTTGTTTTCTTAGAGCAGTACGACATTCCATGCTCTAGAAAAACAACAAATGTGAATATGGAGAAACATGGAAGGTCTTATGTGAAAATACCTAACGTCTACAATAGTGTAAATAGAAGAACAATTACACAATAATAAAAAGAATATTCTGAAATTAGAAAGAACAAGCTTAGATCTGCCAAAAGAAGAGATATAAAAACACTCTTCTTTGCAGAGAAGGAGGGACATAGTCCATGGATGTGGAAAATTGCATTTAACATCAGATTTTTCCCAATGTATGCCTTGCTGAATTTTTTTTCTTAAAAAATTCTTTGTTATCAGAGATAGCTCTCAGAGGGTGGAGGAGAAGGAAATAGAAGGGCATCTAAAGAATATAAAAATAAAAGATATCAGAAATATAAAAAAGATAACACTTCAACAAAATATAGTGATCTCATCCTACAAAATAAAGGTGAATAAGTAATATTTTGTTGAGTACTTAGAACATGATCTTTTACTTTCCATTTTGTTGATTAGTACTGTGTAAGGCATACATATGTTCAAAGTTCCTCAAATAGTTTAAAAATATATGTATATGTATATGTATACATATACACACACCTGAAAAAAAATTATAACCTCCAGAAATGAAATGATGACTCAGAGTACTCTGCTTTAGTTAGAACGTGTCTGCAGTATTGTGGTCACTGCTTCAATAAATTAGAAGACATTAAATGTTAATATGTGCCAGGGTTCTGAGAGCTGGAGGTACAATGACAATTATTTTTAAAATTATTTAAAAAAATGAAACAACTCCCCTCATCAATTTACATTTTATTTGGAGGATGATATGTATACAGGTAAGTGGTGTTAACAGGATTTTTACCGAGCCAGTCTCTAACCTGAGAATGCTCAGAGCCCCGACAAAGTAGGCCTAGAGACCTACCAGTGCCAGTAATCAACTAGTTAATCAGTTTCAGAGTGAGGAATGTTCTCTCAGCTGAAGTAAAAGCAAGGGTTATATATTTAAATCACAACCAGAAAAGGAGGGGGGAAAGTGAATTACAAACAATCATTTAGTGGTTTCCCAGGAGAAACCCCTAAGTCCCACAATACAACAATTCTGGAGTCAAGTCTTTGGGAGTTGTGACCACCTTCCCTAAGGTACAGAACCAGAGTTCTGTGATGGGAACAGGTTCTACAATCTTTGATTTGCTTCACTTAAGGTCCAGTGATTGTGAGCATTGTCAGAGTTTTGATTAATTAACTTAAACTGCATTGTGAACTCTGACTCTTGAGCCAGAGAGGAAGCTCTTGAGAAAACTAAATTATTAGTATATTCATTACACATATATTGATTAATATGAGAATTACAAATTCCTTTCTCTGTTTCTTTTGAGTTGGGGAGAAAACATTAGAGGTGGTGCTTGAGCTGACCTTTGAAGGAAGCTAAGGAATTTAGGAGGCTGAGATGAGGAGAAACAGTCCAGGCATGAAGAGAAGACTTGGAGATTGGAAATGGAATGTGTGATAGCAAGAAGTCCAATTTGGTTGGACAGTAGAGTATGTAATAGGGAGTGATATATAAGCAGCCTGGGAAGATAATTGAGCTAAATGATGCAGGAGTTTAAATGCCCACCAGAGGAGTTTGTGTTAGATCTCAGCAGTATTAGGGAGCCACTGGATATGTGATATGATTAGACCTGTGCTTTAGAAATATTACTTTGGCAGCTGGGTGGATGGATTAGACATTTGTGTTCTTTCCATGAAACCATGCTGTCTCTCCTCTAGGAATGGATTTGGGGCAACAAAAAAGCAACCTCTACTTGAGGAAATAGCAAATCCCAAGGATTTTGGGTCTTTTTTGTTTGTTTTTTTGCTTTTTGGTGAGGCAATTGGGGTTAAGTGACTTGCCCAGGGTCACACAGCTGGTAAGTGTCAAATGTCTGAGGCCGGGTTTTGAGTTCAGGTCCTTCTGACTCCAAGGCCAGATCTCTATTAAGTCTTGATCTTTGTTAGGAAGCTCTGTTGTGCTGCTTCTCTCCACCCCATTTTCCAGATTATATGATCAACAATGTGATCAATCACTTTGTGGGACAAGAGTTCTTAACCTGGGATCTGAACTTTAAAAAAAAAAATTTGATAACTGTATTTCAATTTCAAACCAATTATAGTTTCCTTGGTAATTCTATGTATTTTGTTTTATGCATTTAAGAACATTTTTAAAGAAATGCTTCATAGGCTTTGCTGGACTGCAAAATGAATCCGTTACACTCCCCCCAGAAAAGTTAAGAAGCCCTTCATTAGGACAAGGATTATAAGTCATAGTCAATATATTACTATGTGATTTCTTTGGTGCGAGAACTCCTCTATCTATAAATAATTATATCTCTTAATTCTTGGGACCTCGATCACAGAATAGCAGAATTTGATAGTTCAGGGGATCTCAAGTGGCCAGCTAGTCCATTCTGTACACAAAGGGAATCTTTATTATAGTATACCTGACAGGTGGTCATGGGACAGCACAGTCTGCTTTTGCATATCTCTAATTATTAGGAAGCTTTTCCTAACATTAAGCCTGACTTTGACTCCTGGTAAGTTCTACCCATTGCTCTTGATTCTTCCTATGGGAACCAGAACCAGAACCAGAACCAGTCAAATCCTCTTTCACATGACCTACCTTCAAATATTTGGAGACAGCTGAATCTTCTCATTAGGCTAAACATCCCCAGCTCCTTCATCCAAAAGGCATGGACTCTAAAGTCCTCATTCCCTTTCTCTGGAAATTCTCCTGTTTAACAATGTTCATAGTAAACGATGGCATCCAAAACTAAACACAAAACCTCTAGATAAGGTCTGAAGAGGGCATTAGGACTATCACTTCCCCCTTCCTAGAAGCTATGCTCCCCTTGACGTGGCCCAAGATCACTTTAGCTTTTTTTGGCTGTCATATCATCTGATGACTCAGTGAATTTGAAGTCTACCAAAACCCTCAGATCCTTTTCTGAATAAGTGTTATCTAACTATACCCCCATATACTTGTACCCAAGTGCAAGATTTGACACTTACCTTTATTAAATTTCACCTTACTAGATTCACCCCAATGCTTAGCCTCTCAAGATCCTTAGGGATCCTAACTCTGTCATCTGTAGAAATGTTAGCTATCCCTCCCAACTTTGTGTCATCTACAGATTTGATGAGCACACCATCATCCAAGTTATTAAATGTCAAATACTCAAGGAAGTCATTGGGAAAAAAGCCACATGCGCCAAAATATAGCAACACTACTTGTGGTAGCAAAGAACTAGAAACAAAGCAGGTATCCCCTTATTAGGCAATGGCTAAACAAATTATGGTAGATAAATGCCTTGGAATATCACCATGCTGTAAGAAATGGAAAACATAATGAATACTGAGAAGTATGGAAAAACCCATATGTATGTATACACATGTAAATATACATATATAAGTATA